CCCCCGCCCCTTTTGCTGTGATGTCTCCTCGCAGGAACGCGGGCTGTAACCCGCTCCGGAGTTGGGGGCTGCAAAGCGTCGAGGCCGTCGGGAAGCCGCGGGCCCTGGGACGTGGCTCCCTGGGGAGCTGCTGTGGGAAGGCAGATGTACCCTGCAGGTCCTGCTGTCAGTTTGCAGGTGCAGAAGAGGGGAGATGGAGGAGGGTGGGAGCCTATCCTACGAGCTTCAATGGGGCAGGCCCCTCCGGGCCCCCTCCCTCCCTTACATCTTGCCACCTGATGGGGCCTCGGAGGCGCCTCTTCTCGGTGGCCCCCCAGTCCTTTAGAACAACCTCTCTCCTGGGATCCGAGGCATCCCACCCTTTTAGGCTTCCGGCGGGCCGTGAAGACCTGGCTCTTCCCCGAGCATTGGGCTGGCATGGGGGCTGAGCTGCCAGGATGATTGGTTTGGCGCAGGGTGGAGAGGAGGGTACTTTTATTTCTACCTTCATCTTTATGGATTGTCGTGAGCCACCTAGAATCGTTATATGAGCAAGGGGGCCATATAGGTCCTGTACGTGAAATAAAATAAATAAATAAACATTGCATGGCGTCCCACCGAGAGAAAAGGAACAGAGCTCTGGAAAGCTTAACTTTCGGTAGATGAGTGGTTCCGTTCTTACTTAACTCTGAAATGAGCGTTTTGGGCACGGCAGCTGAGCATACCCTTTGGGGAAGAAAGGCAGCGAGCTTCTGACTGCGTCCAGAGCTTTAGATCTTTCAAATTCCTTCCATTTGGTCCGTTGCTGGCTTTCGGGGGGTCATTATAGCCTTCAGAGTGCCTTTGTGTCAGCAGTCAAACAGTAATAATTTCAGAGGTCTTTTTGGATGTGATTCCTGCAGTTGAGATCTTGGGGAGGACGTGGCCTAAACCTATTTCCACAAGTTTTATGTAACCAGGGTCTTGGTTCCAGCTGTCAGACCTCAAAGGAGCAAACCATTGTCTCCTGGCTTGTCTGTCTTGGAAATAAAATGCTAGCCTGCAGAGAACTCTAGTTAGCCCAGCAGAGTCCCTTCTATTCTTAGATCATCCATGGGCTGTATTTCCAAACAGCACAAAGGACTCACATGTTCTTGGACAGCCTTCTGTCCAACATCCAGGCAGTTTTTAGATCCAGACCTGCATTGTTTCCACCCTAGAACTGCTGTAACCTGACTTGCCCTATCAAAGCACAGACAAAGCCATGCCAGAGTCATAAAGGTCAGGAGCCACGAATAGCGTCCGCTGGTCGTTATTCTGCCTTTGCTTCCTGGGCTCTCTTTGACAACCTGGCAAGTGTGCTGGTGAGGATGTGTTTCCAGGCGGCTGGAGAAGTGTTGAAAAAGGAGATTCCCTCACCTGCAGTACTACACTGGAGCCCTTTGTTGAATTTCAGAGAAATGGCCTGAAGCTGTCTCCTCATCTCTAGCTACTTATATTGTCTCCTGAAATTCCTTCCAGGTGATCGGATGAAGAGACCTTTGAAATGAAAGAGAGAGGGTTGAGGTGCTTTTTCATTTCCAAGCTTTCTCAATGAGTTGTTTCTAAGCAGAGAAGCAGGCTAGTAAATCTGGAGGCTTTGTTTTCAAGACTACTTTGATAGATGGAAATGTTGAGGACTGGGGTTGTGTAATTGCTGGGCTAAGGAGGCTAGGAAAGGCAAAGAGGAAGCTGATGGTGCTTTGTGACTTGGACACAAGTTGCTGGGACCTGGGAGGATGAGGAGGCCCAAGGCAAGGAGAGTTGCAGGCTGGGTGGGAGAGGGCAGAATGCATAAATGGGTGCTGGCTCTTTTGTCCCCCTGTACTGTCTTAATGAGTGGTACTTGGTGGTCAGAATGTGGCTCAGGAGTTGGGAGAACAAGGCAGTTTTCAATGCTGCTATAGCTCCTTTGAAAGTTTGACTTTTCCTTTCATAAGAATGAAAGATCTAAGGACCTTCACAGAATGTAGCAAAGGAGGGGAGGGCGTGTTAACATTGTCTTAGGCGCCTTCTTATTTTAATTGAAGCTCAGAGCACCTTATTTGTTTCATAGCAGGAGGTGAGGATTCTCTTGGTTGTTTGATCTGTTTGTTCTAGCCTTAGGCCCTCAACTTTGGATGGTTTTCATTTTGTCTTCCAGCATGTTGACATGGATAACTCCTATCTCTGTGGATACTTGAAGATTAAAGGCCTTACTGAGGTAGGTGTCTGGAACAGGTTGTTGCTTTCTGGAGGGATTCTTAAATGTCCACTCGCAACTGCTTTATGAAAATAGGAGGAATAACCCTGGATTTCTTCTGTATGTTCATTGTGTTCCCACTTGATTCACTCGCAGGAGTATCCAACGCTTACTACTTTCTTTGAAGGAGAAATAATCAGTAAAAAGCATCCATTTTTAACCCGGAAGTGGGACGCAGATGAAGATGTGGATCGTAAACATTGGGTGAGTACCTTGCCCTTGGTTGCACCAAGATGGCAAGCCTGTCTGGGTTGTCCTCCCCGTGGGTATGGACCGAGAGGTCAAAGAGCCTTTTTACGTGGGAGGTGTTATGGGAGAATGATTCTAGTTGAGCCTTGCTAGCTTTCCATTGCAAGATCACATTTGGGGGATGAAGGAACATTTCTTGGGCATTTGTGGCATGGTGTCCCAACTCAGTGAGAACCTGTGAGCCTGGGATGATGTTTGTTCCGGGGGGGGGGTGCTCTTAAAATGGGCTGGGAATTGCAAGGGCACCAGTGATAAATCTCCCCTTTCCTTCTAGGGGAAGTTCCCGGCATTTTACCAGTTTGCAAAGACATTTAACTCTGATGATTTTGATTATGAGGATCTGAAGAATGATGACTTTGTCTTCATGAGGTGGAAGGTAAGACGTCTGGACACCTTTCTACAGGGTGCCTTGTGAAGGGCTTGGGTGGCAAGGGGTTAAACTGGGACTTAGGTATCAACAAAGATCCTGCACTCTCCCCTCCTCTTTATCTAGGAAAAGTAAAATTACTTCTATTTGCTCCTCCCAGCAACCTGTAGAGGATCGCTTTCCTACTAGACTGGAGCTGCTAGAGCAGCGTTTCTCAGCCTTGGCAACTTGAAGATGTGTGGACTTCAATTCCCAGAATTCCCCATGCTGGCTGGGGAGTTCTGGGAGTTGAAGTCCACGCATCTTAAAATTGCCAAGGTTGAGAAGCACTGCTCTAAACTGAGATTTGGTTCAGCATGTTTGTTTTATTTGTGTTTAATAAATAATATATCAAAGAATTTTAATTCCCCTAAAAGATTATCTTGTAAGTAAAAAAGATCACACTGAAATACTTGATTAGAAATTGAAGCACCTTTAGTGTGTCATAATCAAAGCTTTACTTAAAAGTTTTTAAAATTGGAACAGTTAACAATATTTTAGGGATTGTTCAGTACCATTATGTCTTTTATGTTCTTTAAAAAATAGAATACTGGAGATTCTTTAGCATACCTACTTCACAAAAGCTGTATTTTGTGTGTCTCTGTACACACTTTCTTCCTCTACCTTGCAGCCTGAAAGAAAACTCAGCCATGACTCTGCAACTAATGAAATGGTTGTTTTACCCATGCTGACATCTTGTGGAATAACACAATCTTACAGTGATAAAGTTTGCAAAGGAAAAGGTTGCTGCACAAAAGCCTCAGCAGGATGGCTGCTGTTAAAAGGAGACTCTGAATCAAAGTTCTCTACTAGCTTTCTCTGTCTCTGTGTGTTCATTTTTGTGCAGGAGCAGTTCCTAGTCCCAGATCACACCATTAAAGACATCAGTGGGGCATCCTTTGCTGGGTTTTATTACATATGCTTCCAGAAATCTGCAGCATCTATAGAGGGCTATTACTATCACAGGAGTTCAGAATGGTAAGACAAGGGCTGGCAGGAAATTGGCCCCTTCCTCACTGACTAGCCGAGCCAAGGTTGTAGAGACAGCATCCTGAATGTTTGGCTGTGCTTGGGTGACTGACGAGTTGAGATACGAATTACGTTATTTTGTCCCCCTACCCTTGCTGGTCCAGATCACTTCTGGGCTGAGTCCAACAGTCCACTGCCAAGAGCCAGCCGGGCCCTAACCTGGCCGCTCTGAGGCTACAGTTCCCAGATGTGGCAGCCTTTAAAAACTGCTGCTGTGCTGCGGAATCAGGGACGGTCATTCTGTTCAACCTGTTTTCCTTGCTCCCCCAGGTATCAATCTCTGAATTTGACTCACGTCCCTGAGTACAGCGCACCCATTTATGAATTCCGGTGACAGGGATGCCAAGAGCTTCACCAAGAGATGGCCAGTGAGGCCGGGGGGTGGGGAGAGAGAAAGCGAGTGCAAGGGCGCGTGTTCTATTCAGACAACGGGGATGTCTCAGGACAGAAGACACCAGGTTCCCCTCTTGTTGGGCAACTGGACTGGTCTGAAAGCATGAGCGGGAATCCACGGGACTGCCGGAACCTGATTCTTCTTCCAGCTGTGTGGCCAACTTGACCCTGTAGCCTGGTTTCAAAGCTGCCGTTCAGTGCCCTTTTCTTGCAGAGCTTGTCTCTCGTGATCACTGACAATCCTCTCCCTCCGCTCCTTTTGGGTGGAGGAAATGCTTGCGTCTCCCCGGATCTCCTTGGTATAGAAGAAAACATAAGCTGCTCCCTGCTTAGGTTGCTTCCTACTTGGCTCCGCGTAGGGGTTCATCCAGAGGGGGTCCTGTCTGGTCTGAGCACTACTTGAGGCTTGTGTCTGGCCCACAACTGCAGCGTTTGCTAAGGAAGCAGTTGACCGAAGGAAGGAGGGCTGGGGAAAAACTAAATCTGCTCCTGTGGGCTTGCAAGGCTGCCTTTCTCAGGAATGTTGGTCAGTCCCAGCAGCATGAGTTTAAAGCAACCTGCAGTGGTGGGAAATCTAATTATGCTGATGCAGAATTCACAACATGAAATGGAAAATGTTTAAGGACTTCTTTAAAGAGAGCTATTTTTATGGCCCACTTCCTCACCGCTGTCTCAAAGACTGTGTGGTATGTGCACAAATTATTCTTCATTATGTTTTACAATGGCTGCTTATTTTCTTTTTCTCCTCCTGGTGAAAATACGTGCAAGCTCACATTGGTTGATGATGGTGAGCTCTCTCTGTAATTACCTAGCAGTGTTGCCGCCCACTCATCACGGAGGAGGCGCTTAGCGGTGGTGTGAAAATTGAGCTTCTGACGTGCGCTCCGGGTTTACGCTGCAGAAAACAATTGATGTTTGCTAGGACTTTGTCAGACCAAAAAAACTCCCCCCAAATAAACTGGTCTCCCAAGACTTTAAAATGTTCAGTGACTTAAGGCTTCTGTGCCAAACTTTGTGCATGTGTGGTAATATAAAAGTTGCTGTCCTGTTTAACGTGGCCTTGAGAGGCTTCTGCAACCTGCTTGTCTGCATCATTGATGGAGGGGGGGGACCGTTCTGCCACTTGGGTTTGCAGGGCAAGAACATGATTCTCCCCTGCTTTCTTGCAGCAAAATGCCTAGCGCCCCCCCCCCCAAGATCTTTCTGTCTGCTTCCGCAGGTGCCTTGGACTTTGCAGTGTTTGGCAATGGAGGGGGGCAGAATGTCCCCAGTGGCCAAAGATTAGGTGGTGGGCGGGTTCTGTTTGGAGCTCAGCCTTCTGAGTGGCAGGATCAGAAGCATTTATAGTGGCTTGATTTTTGAAAACTGGCAGGTAATTGGGGCTGAGGAAGCATTTTTCTCTGTCTACAGCCCTGTGCGTGCCACAGTCTTGGGGGGGGGGAATAAAAAGTACAGGTTGTGCTATTGAGGTATGGAATTTGGTTCCCACTTTTAGCTTCCTTTGATGGTGGGGTTGAAAAGTGTTGTCACTTAAAAAGAAGAGAGGTCACTGAAAAAAGGACTGAAGTGGTTGAAAATCGTAGGTTGGGGCAGTGTTCTTCTCTGCAGCTCTTTGTTCTTCCTGATAGTGAGCAAAGCTGGAATAAATTATGCAAAAGATGATAAAATTGTGTACAGGCTGGCTCATTTGACATGTGGATTGCAGAATCCTGCCTTTCTTGATTCAGAATTTGGTCTGTTAAGACAGGGAATATTTAAAAGAATACCCACAGACCTACCCTAGATCCTTTAGCCCAAGGTAGCTGAGCATTTTAACGAGGGCCCTTGCCTTCCCTTTTCCACAGTGTAAACCAAGTTGCTAATTAACGAGTGCTGGGGTTTGGAGTTTGAGCTCCAACTTGTCCATTGCGGAGGACTAATGGTTTACTCGACAGGTGTGTGTGAATCTCAGCAAGAGCGTGCGTACTTCAGGCTGAGCGTTCCCATTAGTCATCTGAGAAACCCATTTAGCCTGCATGCAATATATTCACACCCAGTTAAAAAAGGTCAAGAGCACCCCGAGGAATCCCCAAAGTCCTTTCCTCTGTTGAATCACGGCTCCCTCCCTCACTCTATTTCTGGGCAAATAGGTGTCTTGCAGAGAAGTAGCTGTGCCTGTAATTGGATTGGCATTATACCTACCTTTCTCAGGTGTGTGAGTTACAACTTGCCTATAACCCAGTATTTCTCAACCGTAGCCACTTGAAGATGTGTGGACTTCAACTCCCAGAATTCCTTGCTGGCTGGGGAATTATGGGAGTTGAAGTCCACACATGTTCAAGTGGCCAAGGTTGAGAAACACTGCTATAACCTTTTGAGCACGGGAAAAAAAATGGTTGAAGGGTCACAGCTTGCCAGGGAAAGATGGCGCTTTCTTCAGCTTGAGTTAAAGGATTTTCTGGAGCCACTTCAGCCAGCGATGCTTAACAGCAAAGCTTAAAGAATTAAACTTATATGGCAGAGGCGGCTTCTGAAAGCGCTAACCAGGGAGAATTAATTTACAGGGAGGGCAGTAAGTTGCCTCTGTGCTTCAGCACTTCCCCTGTAATGTGCAGGAAGAAGCTGAACGTGAAAGTGAAGCTACTCCTGCCCATGCTGCACCAAACTGAGAAGCATTAGAGGGCAAACTTGGTCACGCTGCCTGCTTGGGCATCCTTTTTTTCCCAGTTCACTTTATTGCAATCTCAAAAGCCACCAGAAGTCATCAGGGTGATTCTGCCAGAAGTGGAATGTCTAGTTTCACATAACCTGGAGAGCTTTGGGGTGGTGTCAGGCACAGTTTTTTATGGTTTACAGTATGTGAAAACGGTTTTTCAGCTAAGAGGGAGTAAAATCCAACTTTGTACTAATGGAATTGGTAGAGGGGAATGAGTTCTCAGAGTCCCACCGGAGGGAAACATACAGGTCTTCAGCTGGACTTGAAGTTAGTTTGAGTCAAGGATTGTATAACATTCTCTCTAACTTCAGGTTGGGGTATATTTTGAAATCTAATCTCTCTCAAATCTTAGAAATATGTATTTCTAGGTTTACCCACTGAAAAAACAAGGGCCTTTGCACTAATGCCCAAGCTGCTTCATGAGGTTCTTTATTTTGCAAATGGGACATTTCGTAGCAGGAATTTATCAGATTTCTATCCTCCACTTGGGGGATTTGAAATACTTGGAGCAAACAAGCCAGAATCAGATTGGAGGCAACAGAATTTCCAGTCTTACTGCCATTGATGTGACATTCAGAAAGGACTCTGATCATTTTTGGCATATTGCCCTGATTTGGTGCATGCCTCTATATACTTGCTAACAGATGCTTGCACTTGAGATAAAATAGGTGGGAATTAAGTGGGTGTGTGGGGAGCAACTTTTCTTTAGAATATAGCGTCTCCCCTTCAAGGCTTGTCTTTAATTCTCTCCCTCTCCATTAAACTGAAGGGCTGTTGCCTCTGGGGTTGTTGAGAAAACCGGGCGAAGCTTGTCAAAGAGTGGCGTCAAAGGTGGGATCTTCCAAAATGTATGGAAAGGATTTTATAAAGCTAATCAGAGTATTAAAGAGTATTTATAGATGAATTGCAGAAAAGAGACTGTGGTTTTTTTTCCAGAGTTATCAGTGTCCCAAATAAAAGAAATGTGTATTTAAAGAGTCTGTGTGCGCTCTTTTCCTTCCTTTATCCCTGCACCACAGGTTGCCGAAATGCACGAAGCTCAAAACTCATCAGCAGGCTGGTGGTTTCAAAAAGGCTCGGAACCTGCACCTGTTTTGCCAGTCATTCTTGCCTAACTTGTTACTGAACAGGACTGCAAGACCTCGCAGGTGACTGTGACGCGCATGGTGCATCATGGAGTCCATCTCACCAGCTATTAGCACAGGGGCCTACAGGAGGAGAAAGCGCAGAGGAAACCCCTCTCCCCTTAGAGGTGGTTGGGGAAAAGCAAGTCCTTTCGGCACGGGCCTACGAATGCCCGGAGTTGGGCCTGGACTTTAGATGTGCGTGTCTTGGAAGATGGTATCGTGGGGTGATGGCTGCTCTGGATATTGGATATTTATCTGTTTATTAAATTTATGTGCCACCCCTCTCCCCCAGAGGGTGACTCTGGGCGGCTCACAGTTAAAATCAAACATCAAAAACAGTAAAATATATAAATATCCACATTAAGTTAACTAAAAAAACATACTGTATAAACATAAAACTATACTGGGCCTTTATTTTTAATGACAATTGTCTTTAAGGCCTTGTGAGCCGCCCAGAGTCACCCTCTGGGGGAGAGGGGTGGCACATAAATTTAATAAACAGATAAATATC